ATTTTACCTGCTCCAAACGATTTTTTACTTGAGAATAGTAAAAACATTCTTGTACTTCGGAAGACTTCTAGAAAATCCTTTCAAAAACCAGAGTATTTTCTGTCGACTTTTAACGCTTCTGTTAAACCGCATAGTATTGAGTAGGTAAAATAGAGTACATCCTGACATTCTGACATAACTTGGATTGATCTTGACTGAGTTATGAATTTTTGAATTTTACTCAAAAATAGGTAGAACTGGGATATTTCACGTAATGTACGCTTTCACTAAGTTTTTGAAGCTGTATAGAAAAACAAATATTGCCACAAAACTCAGCATGGTCGATTACCCATAGCGCATACGTTTTTCCCAGGCTATCAGTTCATGAGAAAAAAGCAATACAATCCTATTGGAAAATGTTTACCGACGGCATAGTTTTCCAAAAATCTCTTAGAAAATCTGTTTCAGAAAACTGTTATGGGAATATGCCCCCAAGTTTCCTCTTTCCACTGGTGAAAATCGGAGCTCTCTACCTCTTTTCAATCAAAAGATATTCAAAACACAACCAAGTGCACGGTGTTTTGACGCCGATAATAGAAAAATGTTTTTCAAATCTGGAAAACAAAGAAGTAGTGGCAGTTTGCTAACCCATGTTTTGTGATACCCCCAGGCATACACTATCGATGGATGATAAGAAAAAACCTAGGTGTTTACCTTTTGTTTCAGTCAAATTTTTTCACAAAAACGGTACTATTTTTATCAGAATCACTCATATATATTATCTATCCAACTGAACAGTGACCACGGTCATTTTTTTAATGAATTTTTAACGGAACAAGATGAAGACCTGCGGTTTCCAGTGTCTTGTAGCCAGGACCTGACAGCATCATGATTAACATGATACATGATGATTTAACATGATACGCTAAAAGCATACGAAAAGTGTGCCGATGACACACTTTTAAAAGTGGCACACAAAAACGTCCAAAAATGCTACCGCAGTGTGCCAAAAACACACTAAAAATGCGTCAGTGGCACGATAAAAGCATGCTAGCAGCACATAAAAAGCATACTTTCGGTACACTTTTTCCATGTCATTGACACAATTTAAGTGTGCTTTTCCGGGACAGTGTGTTGTCAAAGCTGAGCACATTTTTAAGCAAATAATTCACGTATATAGATAATACTAAACCGCAGAAAAGACATTAAATGTATTGCGTTCTGCTTCCGTTTTTCTTTTACTTTCACAAATGATTCACGTGCATTGGTTCGAATTTCCGCCAACAGAAATGCGAGAAAAAGATCTCTATAAATATAAATTCCAAAATTTCCTTAGTGATGTGTTTTTAGCTTATTATGATTAAAATCAGCTAAAATAAGAAAATTAACGATAAAAGAAACGATTTGGCCGCAGTAGAAGTCAAAAACGGAGTAAAAAGCGCGCTTAAATCATTAAAAGACGATCGATATTTTACGAGTTTCAGTACTCAAGATGATAATGAAGACGACGTTTGCCAAAAAATCGGCTACAGCCATTTTGTAGAGCTCGATGAGCTCTATCTATTCTGATAATAATTAGAAAAAATTTTTGGGGCGATTTTGAGATATATGAGCTCAAACTTTCCAATTTTTTTCACTAAATCGATTACTGTTCAAAAACACCGATGGGTATGAGGTCATGTAATGGTGGACGGACCTGAATGGAAGTACTGTTATTACTCAACACGTCTTATACAAACTTTCATTGAAAAATAATCATGTATAAGTTTATAACTAAAGTTTTGCTGAAAAGGGCAGTTTTCTGAGTATGGTGAGTTTCAGGTACAGGCCTCTTGTTGAGTCTATAAATTCAGAATAATGACATCAATTTAAATTTATTCACCGTAGAAAGCAGTAAAAGGAAAGGAAAGAAAACAGAGAAAAGAAAGAGCTGTAGGTGGATGGATCCTTTCACTTCCGATCATCAGATTCAAACGGTTCAGTCATAAGATCCGGTGTTCGAATCCACTTTAGTCAGACAGCCGGAAAAGGTCGAAATGAAACGAATCCAACCGGACGTTTTTCACCTGGCTACTTAAATGATTCTCTAAACTTTGACTTCGAACAAAAGTAACTAAAACTCATGGTTCAAAGATGAAATACATAAATCCTTTTGGAGAAAAGAACAAAAATTCGACCACGGAATACCGTCTAGTTTCGTTGAATTTCATTTAGTGTAGGTCCTTTGGTTCATTTTCTGTTGACATTCGCTCATACACCCTTCAACCGGATGTTCTTTACGAATGCTACTATAAAAAATAGAAAAATGAGATTAACTGTTGTTCTGTTTTTTGCTTTTGTTATTAGACAAATAGATATATAATAAGGATAGTTGTACTACTCCCACCAAAAAAAAGTGTCTCTCCTCATCTTATGGAGAATATCTATCGTAATAATAATAACAATGATAATGTTACAGGGAATGTCGGAAATCAGAGAATGTGCACATTCCCTGGGGAATCTATAAAGTCCCTGATAGTGTTCAGGGAATTTGAGTATATGGCATTGAAATTTCTTTTGGAATATAATCAATTGATAAATAATGTAGACAACTGATGTTGGAAGTTAGAGTAGAAAAAAAAACGTAAAATTTAGTAATCTGTTTCTTAAAATTATTTTCGATTAATCTCTTTTCTTTCGATGCGACACATTGATATGATCAAATGTTATTCTTTCAACCGAACAAAGTAAAATTTAGTTCCCTAATTGATAATGAAGAAGGATTATGATGTTTTTTAAACGATTAAGCTGTAAATGATTAGACTTAGTTAATCTGGAAATGAAAGAACAGAAGAACGCCAGACAGTTCAGCAGATTGAAAAGTTAAATTTTTTGTTTGAGAGCCTATAAATAGGTTCAAGATAACACAGTTGCTATTACGTATAAAATTATGGAAGAAGCTTTTGTTAGTCGTTTTAATAATTTGCTTGAAAATCATAAATCTAAACATAATATTCATATTACACCAGAGAGAAACATTAAAATAATTAATAGATTAAAGTTTTTAAACAATTTACCTAATAATTACGCAGAACGAAAAGAAACGTCTGATTATAAATTATTAAAGAAATTTGAATTATTAATAATCGGTATTAACGAACGCCTCATTAAGCGTCGTCCGAATTCACAAGACAATATACTTTATATTGTTAATACCTCGGAAATATTTAACATAATTGATGAAGCACCTAAACGAATAGGACATGGTGGTAGAGATCGTACATTAAAAGAAATAAAATCAAAATATTTTAATATTACTGAAGGATGTGTTGAAATTTATATGAAAATTTGCGAAGAATGTCAAAGAAAGAAACCCATATGTTTACCAAAAGTGGTCACAAACCCAATACGGTCACATCATATTTTGTTAAGAAGCCAAGTATGTTAAGATTGAACCTATCAAGGTGTCTCTCTATAAGCTAAATCGGGACAGCTTCTAACGGAAGTCGTGGCTTCCTGCGAAACCCACGTTCAGTTGAGTTTACCATTCCATTTAGGTTGACCTTATTGATTACCAATCCAAGTCAGATGGGAGTTTCCGTTTTCTAATGAACTATCAAGATCATTTTTCAAAATTTATTATATTGTGCCCATTAACATCGAAAAGAGCTGCAGAAGTTGCGGTTCATTTAGTTGAAATGTTTTGTATGTACGGTGCACCACACATATTGCGATCGGATAATGGTCGTGAATTTGTTAATGAAATTGTTGAAGAAGTAAAAGAATTATGACCAGGTAAGTTAACGTACTTTCTTTTGCATTGTTATTACTTAGTTGCTCATACATATGATTATAGGTTTGAAAATATGTCATGGAAGACCTCAGCATCCACAAAGTCAAGGGAGTGTGGAAAAAGCAAACGATGATGTCTAACGAAAACTGGCCATTTGGATGAAACAAAATAAAACAAGTAAATGGTCACCTGGGTTGCCGTTTGTAATGCGCCAGAAAAATACCAATCATCACAGCGGTACGTTTAGATGCAGTTGTAACATTTTAATAATATCATATTCTCAATAAATGGAATTTAATTCTACACAAATTAAGTAAATAACGCTATGACGCTTTCTAACATTTGAGAGGCACATAACTCGTGAACTCATGCTGACCTCATAGACTTGACTTGCCTGTAAGTCGAATGAATGTACTGTCGGAATTATTATTCATTCTGTTGTAACTCGATCTTGTTACTACAGAATTGATGCATGTTTTTTGCGATGAGAATGCCCATATTTTCAACCTTAGTTTACAGAAGCAGTTGCTATAGCTTTTCACTGGTTAGAAAAGTTTATCGGAGTGAGTACGTGTTTCGAAGCCAAGTATGGTTTAGACGTCAAGTCTATCAGGTCAGCATGAGTTCACGAGTTATGTCTCAAATGTTTGAAAGCGTCATAGCGTTATTTACTTAATTTGTGTAGACATCGGACTTAGTGAATCGATGCTATTCACCCTATTTACTTTCTATGTAACGAACAGCCACTTCTTTAAACAGACTCTTATGGCCATATATATTTCCTATTCACATTTTAATTTGATTTTTTAATCAATTGTCATGAATTGACCAAATTTTTCTTTCTTTCTCCTTTTAAATTATAAATTGGTTTTATATTATGAATAAACGACTAGTTATAGCTGCTGTCCGCAATACGCATGCAGCCTAAAGATATTAGATGATGACTAGGCAAAAAGCTAGAGAGTTATCACTATGCATTTCTGCGCTAACACCTGCAAATATCATTGAGGTAGTGCAAAGGTGGCAAAGGTCTTATAGGTGCTCAGCACTTTTTTTGCTTTCCTGGAAATATGGTTCCGTTTTAGATTTTATGTTCAAGTTTTCTGTTGAAAATTTTAATGTTTTTCGGATAACTCTATTTTTTAGAACTGAGAAACTTGCAGACATAGTTTATCGGTTACACTCATCAGGGTAGGGATGATAATTTTTCATTTCTTAAGGCAAGAAAGTTTTTCGAGGTTCGAAAGGTGAATCTTATCGGTGACATTTTTGATGAAAAGTGAAAGAGATTTTTTCCGCTGGTCTTGTTCGAAAGTTAACGTTGATTTCGCGAATATGTAATTCTTTTTGCAGAAGTTTATGCACTGAATATTGCGCATGCAGGTGCACGACTTTTTAATTGATTTAAATTAGGGTTTTTTTGAAAGATCTGACTTTTGAAACATCGAGGCGTCCAACAGAAAACATGTTGCAACAAATTGCTTGCCGGACTCATGCAGATTGTTTTGCATAGTTCTCAAATATCACGTTCGCAAGTCTTTATAATGACAAGGGAACTAACAACAATTTTCAACGCTGTCGAGAAACGCAAAAATTTTCAATCACTTCTTAAAGATGGCTGTGAGCCACCTTTTCGAAAAATGATGTAAAGACCTCAAACACAGTGTTCTAGATAGTATATGACCGGGAGAATCCAACGAATTAAAAATTTCTTTCTTAATAAATTCTTTATTTCACTTCTAAGGTTATGAATTTAAACATGCCGTCTAAAGCAAGATGATCTTCTTTGAAATTCATTCAGTTTGCAAAAATAAAAGGAAAAAACAAAACTATTAGCAGTGCAACAAAAGAAACAAAAATTCCATTGTTTGTGACTTTTTTCGTTGGAACATCAGCAGCATTGCAAAGTTTCTTTTCACAGAGGCATAACATAACCTAGAATGAATAAAAATCAGAAGTAACCAGTCTGTTAGAATCAAGGGCATTAGGATAAGTTTGATTTTCATTGACCAAAATTTTTAAAAGTGAGTGAATCACATCAAATTCTGAGTAAAATATTTAATAATAATTAATAATTAATATTTTCTGAGGAAATATTTTTGAAATGCTTACATTCATTTTCCACAAAAAAATCCAGGATCAAAGGTTCAACTTTGGTCTATTATAAATTTGCTTTTGCTTTCCAAAAACTGAAATGCACATTTTCTGATTCAGTATTTGACGGTGATATCGAATTTGAGGTGAAAACTGAGTAACTTCCAAATTCTGCCAAGAAAAGTACGAAAAACTGAGGAATGATGTTAGTCTGTATACCATGTTAGATCCAATCTCAAGTCCTGTAAATAGTTCTCAACTAATTGTAAAGAGTCTCACTATGTTTCAAGATATTTGGCTGTTCAAATGTTACGTCAATCCTGAGTTTAAGACTAATTCTTCCTGCAATAGGCGATGGAAATCGAAAAAAAGGAAAACTAGCATTATTGGGCGCCGTCTGTGTGGCCGATTTTTAAGAGAAACGGCGAGATGGATGCAGTTCGATGTCGTTTTTGTGCACCTTCTAGTATATTTTTAGCTTCGTAGTTCTG